TATCTAAAAATATCAAGGAAATTTTAAATTTAAATGAAGATATGAAATAATACAATATAAAATACAATGACTTAAATTATATTATTGTATATACTAGGTCATCAAATCAGTGTCAGTTGAGTCTGTCAACTAGGTTGCCTGTAGGGATTTTTAAGGTCCAGCAGGTGTCAGTATTCAGTGACACAGTATCGACACAGTATCAATACAGTTTGGCAATGTGTCGAAACGCTTCATGACGCCTCATCTACCCATCACTACTGTTTACATATACTGGAATATATGGATGAGGAGGTTTTTACCTTTGAGTCGATGACTGAGGATGTGCTCCAGGATGGAAACGAAGTTAATGAACTCTGGAGATGAGTCATCTATTGTCTCAAAACAGGAACGGTCCAGGAGAGTTTTCACTGAAAACCTGAGCATAAAGGAAGACATTGGTTATAATATATGTTAGTGGACCTTTAGCTTAAAAAGCAACAACAATAACTTTACACAGAGTAAGATGTAAACAGGACAAATGTATAATTAAACAAAAGTCTGTGATACAAACTGAAGACAAGGATTTAGTGTGAAATTGGCCCTTAACAGGCACAAGGGTCTAACAAAAAGATGTTCCTTGTTGCATTATAAAAAAACAAAATCCAGTTCCATTAAAAAAAGGATCTATCCTACACTGGCATCTAAGAATTAGCAGTGATAAACTACAGTTTTTGTTGCTGTGTGATCCAAGACAAGTTGACCAAACTCACATTAAAACAAACCGAAGAAGAATCTTAATGAGCATAAACATCCTAGAGTTCTTTTTAACACTATAGAAAGTCACTTTTGTCTTTTCCCATTTATGGGTCGCCACAGCGAATTGTCACACTGATGACTCGCATGTTGACATTTGGCACATGTTTTATGCCAGATGCCCTTCCTGACGCAACCCTGACATTCGAGTCAGCAGCGAGAGCGCTGCACCTTAACCACTAGCCTACCAGGGATGGCTTCTTTTAACACTATAAATTCTCTTATTAATCCTGTCAATACTGTGTTCAATGAGGTATCTGTGCATACCTGCAATAAGTTCCAACGTAACTTCATTTGATAAAGTTCCCCACAACCACAATCACTGTTCCAACTGGGTTTCCTGTACAGTTTGCCTTGGAGAACTTTATGCTGATTTCCTTCTTGCAGCTCAAAAAAATCAGTGCAACAGCTAAAATCCACTTATTGCCCTCTGGATATTGTCCCTGCTAGGATAATGAAGGAGGTCATTGACACTATTGGGCCTGGCCTGGTCACACTTATTAACAGCTGCCTCAGGCTGGGTATTGTCCCCACTGCCCTAAAGCATGCTGTAGTCAGACCACTTCTCAAGAAGCCTAACCTCGACCCCACGCTCCCTTCTAATTTTCGTCCAATCTCACATTTCTCTTTTTTATCCATGGTTAATGAGAAAATTGTCTTCACACAGTTACAGTCTCATCTTGAACTTTATGCTGTTGTCGATAAATTTCAATCAGGCTTTAGGTCCCGGCACATTGAATCCGTGCTGCTGAAGGTGCACAATGATATTCTTACGGCCTGATATGAAGAGTCCTGTTGTTCTAGTGCTTCTAGATCTCACAGCAGCCTTCGTGGTCCATACAATTTTAATTTCCCGCCTTGAACATTGCATCGGCTGGCGTGGTGCTGTTCTCAAATGGTATATTTCTTTTCTGACCAACAGGACCATTTCAGTTGTGATCCACTACCTCTACAATAGCCCCTCTTTCCTCGGGAGTTCCCCAAGGCTCAATCCTGGCACCTATACTTTTCTCGCTATATATGCTACGGTTAGGTTCAATTCTCTCTAAGCATAACATCTGCTTTTTTATGCTGATGATGTGCAGATTTACTTACCATTGATGCAGAGTGATGTCAGTGCACTAGCCCCCTTGCACAGGTGTTTGCGTGATATTAAACATGGCTCACACAGAACTTCCTTCATTTGAATAAGTGGAAGACTGAATACATTGCTTTTAGCCCGGACTCTACTCACATTGTGTCCAGCCTAGGAGCTCAGCCCCTTTATTCACTCAAACTGTGAAAAACCTAGGAGTGTTATTTGATAACAGGCTCAAATTTGACAAGCAGATTAGCTCTGTGGCCAAAATAAGCTTCTTTCAACCGAGGCGCTTAGCAAAGGTGAAGCCCTTTTTATCTCAAATCGATCTAGAAAAACACATTCATGCTTTCATTAGCTCATGACTTGACTACTCCAACACCCTCTACACTAGAATTAGTCAGTCTCTCCTCCATAGGCTCCAACTACTACAGAACTCGCCTAGAACTGCTCGCCTAATGTCAAATACTCCAAGGTATGCTCATATCACCCCTGTCCTTCAGTGGCTTCCGGTACAGTTTAGAATTGATTATAAAATTTTACTGTTTGTGTTCAAGGCCATTATTGGCCTTGCTCTAGCCTATTTGTCTGATCTTTTAACTATTCATACACCGGTCAGAGCGGATTGTTCTTTTGTCGTATATGCCCCCAAGCTCTGGAATACCCTGCCTCCTGATCTTCGGTCTGTAACTGAGTTAATGGTTTTTAAGTCTAAATTAAAGGCACACCTATTCAGACTGGCTTTCGGCATTTAATTTATAGCAGTGGCGCTGTACAGGTGCCTACAGGCTTTCTGATTTTATATTCTGTAATCTTATTCTGTTTGTACTGTGACTCATTTTTATTGTACAGGAGTTTGATAGCTGCTTACAGACTGTGGTTTTAAATTTGTCTAATTTTAACTTTTCCTTTTTGTTAGTTTATGTGTCTTAACATGTTCTGCTTTTATTTTTATATGTTTTGTTGTGAAGTACTTTGAGCACCCTTCGGTGTTGTAAAGCGCTATATAAACAAATAAATTAAATTAAATTAAACAAACGGTGATGCTTTTATTTCTTAATATGTCTGTACTCAACTACAAGACAAGGAAAGTAAATGCATCTGGCCTCCATAGCTGTAATGAGGCTTTGATTACTCTCCTGTGATGAAGCCATTCATAAGGTACTGCCCACTACTGTCCTGTGCATCACCTGACTCTGCCTAATCTAGTTTCAGCTAATTAGGCAGGAAGGAAAGTTAATGTACCAAACTGCAATGTGTGTCTGTGTTCTACAGATTGTGTCAAACTGTGTGTCATCCTTCACCTCAACTAAACAGTCAGACTTCATATCTCACTCTGCTCCTCTCTATTTCGTTGCTTAGCAGCAGGGTGACCACAGTATGTGCGCTTCCTGTCAAAAAACAGAAAGCAGATAAATGTTGGCCTATTTTACACTTTGAAAAACAACCCTGATTTTAGAAAATCATTTAGACAGAACCCTGTGTAAGATTTAGGCCTACTGCACATCCCTCAGTTATTACGTCGTTCAACAAAATACAAACACATGGACTTCTAGTTAATGTAAAAAAAACCTGAAATAAACCAGGACAAGAAAACCCAGTTAGTGACTGACTGTTTAAAGTTTAGGAACAATGCACTACATATTGTATTGGTCTTAGAAATTGTTAATTTTAATATATATAATTCAAAGTTATAACTGTTAAAATAACTGCCCAAGTTAAGGTCAGACAGCCTGAGGTGTAACTTTTCACAGTATACATTTGGCAAGCGTTTTATGCCGGATGCCCTTCGTGACACAACCCAAACTGGGATATACAGTATATATGCACTAATGTGGGCAATTTAGAGTCGCCAATCAACCTAAGCAGCATGTCTTTGGACTGTGGGAGGAAGCTGGAGCACCCGGAGAGAACCCACGCAAGCACGGGGAGAACATGCAAACTCAGCACAGAAAGGCCCCGAACCCAGAACCTTCTTACTGTGAGACAACAGCGCTAACCACCGCGTCACCGTGCTGCCTGACATACTTAGCGTTTAATGCTGATTCTGAAGATTGTCTAACAAAAGACAAAACTTTTTTTTTTAACTACTTCAAGTTATCCATGAAGGACAATCCACTAATGGGTCCACAGTCCCCCCAACCCACCCGCTTCCCACGAGCAGCAGGTATCATACACACACACTCTTGTCCCAGTCCCTGGCACCTCCAACCCATGAACAAGAGCAGGCTGTGATCTGTTGGGTACCAACATGTAGTCTGTCATATCCCTCATCCAAGAATGTACATATGACTCTATAATCTTGTAATCTGACATAGTGCCCGTCATGTCAGACAAAAAAAAAAAGCATGGAGTCTGAAATAACACTACTTGCAGTATCCAAGGATGTGACACCATTTCCATTATGCATCACTCTCATCACCCTGATACTCTCAGGACAGTCACTGACAGTGGTGACATTTGGTGCACCGTATGTGCGTTAAGGAGGTTTAATAAGGACTGTGTTTGCTGCTCAAAATGTGCAGTTTTATTTTCACGGCTGTACATTGTCCCAACTCTTATCCCAAAATGTATTAACATCGCCCCCGATCCTATTTTTAATCAGGCCTGGGACGTCCTTAAATTAATGACCGGCAGTATAGAGGGCAGAAGAAGTGACAAGCCCTATTCTCACATAAATAGAGATCAATTCATCCATTATCTAGATTTGAAGTGGGTACGTTTACTCCTGAGCCCAACTCGTTTTGATGCCACAGAGGAGGCAAGTGTATATCTCTGAAGGGGTGCTAGAACTACATCAGCATTTTTCTGCTCACTCTCAGAACTGTAAAGGTCATGCTCTTGTATGTAGTGAACAACGGCGTCTGGCAGCAGGTACCTGACGCTATGGCACCGGCAAAGCTCCCGACGCACGTGAGTGGATGAGATCTCATTAGTCACCCACTCATGCACAATGTGAATGTTCTTGCGATACTTCCATAGTGTGTCTGACTGGTGGATGAACTTGTAGGGGTCACTGCCACTGCGGGTAATGCAAACCAAACCGTAGAAGCCCAAAATTTCACTGATATCCTCCGGCGTCCACAGATTGGGTACCCCAAAGGACTCCATGAAATCAGCCCCACACAGCAACATCAGCTGAGGGCCACCTCCCCCTGTCTGGTGAGAGGAACCTTTAAAATAATTTTGCTTCGTGCACCTCTTTTTGGAGCACTTGGCTGTGTCCACATCATTGTCCTCTATGCGGCTCTTTTTGGAGCGCTTGACTGTGTCCACATCATCGTCCTCTATGCGTCTCTTTTTGGAGCGCTTGACTGTGTCCACAGCATCGTCCTCTATGCGTCTCTTTTTGGAGCGCTTGAATGTGTCTGTATTATCATTCTGCTCTTCTGCTTGCAGTTCATCATAGTGATGACGAATAACTTTAACTGTCTCCACCCACTCAGGTTGCAAGCTCTCCCAGGAATCTATTGTGATCCATTCAGAGTTCTCTGTGGCCAGTCTGGCCATCTCCAGACGATGGCAGGCCTCTATCAAACCTTTCTTCTTATAGCCATCATTCACTGGAGAGATTATGCCTTTCACCACCCTGTACTGACCTGTGTCTTCCAGATGATCTCGTGCCACTTCAAACATTCTTAAGTGCATGTTGGTGATGGGGTTGAAGGACCCACAGGCCAGGAGCACTACTTTGGTTAGATTCTGGCCCTCCATGCTTCACACTACATTAACAGATACAGTGAACAAATAAAAAAAATATAGCTGCTATACCAAGCAGGATAACTTGCAGCAATAGAAGATTAAAACTAACTAGTAGACTCTCTGAGTAAATAGCCCTGCTAGTGTTGCCTGTTGGGCAATGACGTCATGTGTCCTTTTATGTGCATTCCAAATGGTTGCTATTGGATACCACACACACAGGCGCAGGTGTTCTATCCAATAGCAAACCTCAAGTGTATGACACGCTGTAGCGGTTTACTATTTCCATGTGAGATAGGGGGTGATGCCCCAGCGGTATGAAAGTGTACTAGTGTAAGTTGAGACACAGTGAAGGATGTAGTGGGTCTGGGGTGCCAATTTTTATGTAGCGGTTCTTTTCTTTTTATGGTGTTTGTAAATACAGACGGCCATACAGTTTAACCAAAGCCCCCGAAAAAAACTCCGAGTAACACCTCCTGTGGTAAATACGAGCTAACTGTCCCCGGCTAACCGGGGTTACTTCCTGTACTTAGACAGACAACGCAGTAGCGTCCTGGTTACCCGTTTGGTTCCGGTGCTAAGGTAATCGGTGTTGAATAGTTCCAGGATGGCTGCAATCCAGTGTTGGAATAACAGCCTTGGCGCTAGAAATGTTTTAAGCCTCTTTTTAAAAATATTGATGTTGGCAATCGAATGCAGGTCATCTGACAATTTGATCCAAAGATGGCACCTAGGCGTCGTTAGACTGTTTCTACTGGGGCACTGTGCCCCAGTAATGATCTGCTCCAGTAAAATCACATGTTCAAGTTTTAACAAGCTCCTCTGTTTGGCAGTGGATTAATTTAGATTGATAATAACAAGAAAAGAATTGATTTGTTGTTCTAATCCAGCATGTCCAAACAAAAAATATAAGATGAGGTGCAGTGTTCACGGTTTGGTGTGCATGTATGCACAACGTTTCTGGTGCATTGTGTTGAGCATGCAGCAATCCATGTTTTGGAAACAAAAGAAGGGAATGGACTGAGGTACTATGTGACAGGAACTAAATAAAGTTTTTGAATAACACAAATTATCTTGTTTTGAATCAAATATTATTTACTCCCATATATGAACAAAATAAACTTTAGAGGAGGCCGGAATACTGAAGAAGTTTGGAGAGATGAGGGTTAAAGAGGTAGGCTAAGACCTGGCTGTAGTTGAAACAAGGTAAAGTTAGTTTAGTTAGCTAGTACACAGGCACAGATGTTGAATGTGAAGTAAATTGGAGTTCTGTGCATAAGAGCAGTTGGACTACTCTTAAAATGCTATTTATCAGTGTAATGCATGAAATAAAATGAATGCCGTTGCATAATACACCACACATAGACTTTCTGTTAACTTTGGACTATTGTTCTGCATTTAATGAATGTTACATAATATTTAGTGCTCTTGTCACACAGTCCAAATGATTGTTTTATGCGCGTTTAACAAAGAGGCAGGAGGGGACAGTGTGGATAAAGCTGTCTGTCTATGGAAACAGGTGTGTGAACAACAGTCATCCATTGCACAACATAACTTTGAAGTAGCTGGAGCATTGATATGTTATGTGGTCTTATGGATTACAAAAAAAGATTTTGTGTGTTTTTTTTTTATTATTGATTTGTTGGTAGCTTAACTTGTGAAATTTTAAATTTGACAAATCAAACTGGGGCTGCTTGACATTCAAATTATATTATTATGCACTGAAGAAGAATGTAAAGAAATGTGCATTACAGGGCCAGACTTTTACACCATAAAACCTGTTGAGAATGTTATTAATGTATGTTGAAATAAATATTTTCATACATTTCTACCCCTACCAGTAATTGTTTCAGTTTCAGCACTATGACAGTGGAATAGTGGGCTAAGTAAGGAAGTGGGAAGTTCATAGGTCACATGTCATTCATGCTGCAGACATTCAAGAAAAACTATTATGTGATTTGAGGAATGGGGGCCCCAGTAGAGCTTTATGTCTAGCAACACCCCTGTAAAGCACCTTCAGAAGACTTTAAATTTAATTTTGGCATTTTAGATTAAAAAAAAAAGACTAGCTAATGACCTAAAGGGTTTAGAAGGACTATGATCGGTGAGCAAGTCATTAATATACTGTGAAGCCAACCCATTGGTTATTTTATAGACTAGCCATAAGATTTACGAATTAATCCTGTACTGTACAGGAAGCCAGTGGAGGTATTTGAGGACCAGAGAGATGTGATCATATTTACAGGTTCGTGTAAGCATTCTGGCCGCTGCACTTTGAATGAGCTGTACTCTAGAGGTCATTTGTTTTGGTAGGCCTGCAAAAAGGGCATTACAGTATTGTGCCACCCCACAATTTTCACTGCCCCCAAACAAAATATTCTCTTCAGGCACCAGTGGCTGCAGCGCATAAAAAGGGTACTAGCATTGTGTTTTTTAAGTCGAGTACACACTATTGGCATGGAGTGGTTGAAGTCACAAGAACTCTGTTGCTAGGCAACACACAACAATGAGCAACGTCAGCTTGTTCCTTTTTCCAAAAAAAAAAAAAAGAATGACTTTCTTCATTTCAGCATCAAGCTTATGAGTCATGGACTTGTGACAAGACAACTTATGAAATATCAAATAATGTACATTTTTAAACTCCACAACTAATGGTTATTCCTTCAAACGCAGTAAACAGGACACAGTTTTTAAAGCACCATTATTTTGGTAGACCTCTTTCCAGCACAGAGGACATTCTGAAATGTCACAGTAGAAAAAGTACAGGTGTAAATAATAAAAATAATGATGGCTGAACTTCATTTAGGTTTGTCACACCTAAACAGAACACACCCACTGTTAATGTTATTAGTAACGCCTGCTTTTCCTTCTATCTGGCATGAAAAGGCCTATGTGTAGGTGTGTACCGACTATGCTTACAGTACTTGTTTTCCTGAGATGTCAATTAACCATGTTTTCTTCAAATCACCACGTACTTGGATAGAAAGCATTGCTTCATGTTGATGCTTTTCTCTTTAGCCTTCAGCAATCTGTAGAAAATAATCCTAAAGTTTTTCCGAATCGGTTTGGTCACACCACAGTGTTTTACGCTTTCTGAGTGTGGATAAGTGATGGAAGAGGATGATGTTAACTCACCTGTTCGCCATTTAGAGGGAATGACTGTGACAACAAGTCAGTTTTACTGATAAAGCCCAATATCACTAGTTTGGCCCAAGGGGTTTTACCATCTGTACAATAATCTCAGTAAAGCGCTTTATCAGTTATAAAAACGCAAGAAACCTCACAGGAGCCACCTTCATGTGAGAGATTTCACGAGGTACATCCCAAATCTCTTATAAGCACCGTCGTTTCTTTCACCTCCATCTTTTCCTTGTCTTAGTCCCGCCCACTTAAGATGTGAGGAAAACATATGAAGTGAGAAGATTCAAGGAAACACGTTATTAATGACACGAGACATTCTTTCCTCTGATCCTTCATCTGAACCGTTCAGTCACCAATTGATTTCTGATAAAGGGACGTGTCAGTTCACAAACAAATTCCATGAAGGATGGGTTAAGATGGAAAGAAAAGGTGCAAGGAGAGAGGTACCGGGGAGAAACAATTTAACTGACATGAGGCGTCCTTTTCTCTGGTCCTTTATGTGAATTGTCCAATCACAAACTGATTTCCAATAAAGCAATCCGTAACAGCCTTCCACGAAAAATGCACTCATGTATCCTCGGTCATAGCTTCTTCGGGCAGTCTCCTAGCTACAGAAATAAGAGCTTTTGGACGTCTTTCATCATGGCAGAATGGAATGACTTTCAGGTCAAGCAAGGCTTGAGGACCAAGGAATAATAGAATGAGGGAACTGGGATTCACCTTTGGAATGACCTTGGACCTCGGTTGACTGGATCAAGGACTAGTCTTATAAGAGACTTGAGATGTATTCATGGAAACACCTGTAGTCCATTAACACACTGAGTTTGACAACAGCTCAGCAAATTCCCAAATTAGCTCTGTCCAGTGTCAGCATGAGAGGAGAGCTAATCAGCCAGAATAAGTGAAAACACCTGTGTCCTGTGTGTAAGGTATTAATATATGGAAAAACGGATCTTTAGTTGAACATTTTAAAGCACTCAGCAGCAAATGCTGGGAGAGAATGTAAGCCAATGACTGAGAGAGGGCAAAAAATGAACTGAAATATTTTAATAAAATCACTGTTTCTTAAATCATCAAAACAGCTGTGGAAATAGACCTGGCAAACTTACTGTGTATCACATCAACAAAATCAGAAGCAAAAATTTCCCAGTTGTTTCTGTTGCCCCTTCCTTCTATATTTCAAATGTAAGTACTCACCGTAAGGATGATGCCTGGACTGTTCTATCAACTTTAACTGGTACAAGTGTGTCCCAAACATTTGACTGACATTGTGACATTCACAGTCTCAGACAGAGCAAACAAGGAGTCCAAACACTAAAACCTGCCGGATTTTGTGATGAACTATGACACTGCTGTCTTCACTCACAGTTGCTCTTTGTTAAATGTGGATAATTAAATTACTTTTCTTAATTTAATTTCACCCCTACTGCATCTTATCAGCCACAATAGGACAAAGCAACTAGCAAACATGAGATTTAAGGACACCTGACATACTTTTAATGGCAGGTTGTAGTTGTATTGAAGATTCCTTCTGCAGCTACAACTGTCCTGTCTTTCTTCGTACTCACTGCCAGCAGGGACCTAATAGATGCCTCTCTGAAAAGCTTAAAAACAAGCAACAACCTGCCAGTGGGCCAGCCATTACTAACAGTGTTCAAACTCAGTAAACTTTCAATTCAGGGGAAGATCTTCAAGTTTCCCTTTTAAAGATCAAATATAGTTTAAATAAAGAGCTGGAACAAGCCAATACAAAATATTTCATTCATTTTCTACTGCTTAGTCCCGGAAAGGGGGGGGGAGCCAATCCCGGGTACACCCTGGACAGGTCGCCAATCCATCGCAGGGCTAACACATAGACAAACAACCACACACACACCTATGGGCAATTTAGAGACACCAATCAAGCTAAGCTGCATGTCTTTGGACTGTGGGAGGAATCCGGAGTGTCCGGAGAGAAAATGCAAAGGTCCCAGGTGGGGCCCAAACCCGGAACCTTCTCACTGTGAGGCAACGGTGCTAACCACTGCGCCACTGTGCCTGCAAAGTAACAATTTTGTCCCTTGTTTTCTTGAGGAGTCATTTTATCTATAAAAACTGTATAAAAATGACATTCACATTGATTGTTTTGTCCAAGCAACAGTCCAAAGCTCAAACAGCATTAAATCTTCACTTCTGAAAAGCTGCGACTCCTTGTTCTCACTGAAATACTCCTGTTTATTTATTATGCCAGTTTGCCATCACTCTTCTCTCTCTTTTCCCTCCATTACTTGTGCCAATCGTGGAGCTGATGGCTGCTGCAGAGGCAGGACAATCCAAGAAAAGGACCAGTCAGTGAGGACACACCTGACCATCCTGACTCTTGGAAATAATGTTTAGACTCATCTTCAGAAAAGGTTGAGCAGACACAATCTGGAGGAGGTGGCCTTACACTTTCTTGGTGCCAGAGTAAAGACTGCACCTTCATATCTTCTGTTTGTCTCTGACCCTTTGACACCACAGGGACTGTCAGTCAGTAACGGACATCACCCAGCAGCACTGAGAACATAACACACCAGTACTCAAGAGCAGAGCACTTTTCACTTCAACCAACAAAGCAAGGGGGTGAAACAAACAGGTGGTGACAGCTCAGCACATCTTTATCTGTTTGCGATGCTCCATTTTATTCCGCTTATCATTTAGAAATGTATGGAAAAACTGATTCTGGACACCAAGGTCATGTCCTCAGTACTGTTTACCTATACTCTACATAAACATTAGTTTGTGCAGTGTTTTCTCAATGTCTTTACATTTCAGTTTGAAAACGAAACAATGAAGAATTTACTATTACTTTAATTATAATCCTGTGGGTATGGGCATTTTATAAATTATATTTGTGGCTAATCCAAAATTATTACAAAGGTGTGGCTGAGATGGAGGAATTTATGGTCTCAGTATTTCTAAATTCCTGGCCTTAATCCTACAAAGAGCTCATAATGAAGGCAATTAAAACTGAAATGTGATTGCATGAATGTTTAATGGAGACTTGTGAGGAGGCTACCGGTGGTGGGCGTGAATCTGAATTTGTGTGTAAGAGACGGAAAGAAATGATTATAAGGTGTAAAAGACAGGATAATTTACCTGTGGTCATCCTGATCAAGCACACACAGACCTTCATCTGTAGGCTTTGCATATTTTATTTCATTCAGGCTCGTTCCCTTTAAATCTAGCCTCAAACAAATGCTTGCCTCTCAAATTACTGAAAAAAAATCTGCGGTCTAAAATTCAGTTGCTGATGCTATCTCATCCTCCCCTGTCAATAACCAGAGACTGATGTGAGGGATTCCCACCTGCACACTGTGAGCAGGTTCCTCCTCTCCACCGCCGCGCCCCTGCCTGCTCCCCGCTTTCGGATGCGATGCAGCCCGATGCCGAGTGACGCCATCCCCGGCTCGTGTCCGTGACTGCGGCCGGAGGTGGTGCGTAGTCCCTGCTCCGCTTCCTCTGCACCAGGGCAGGACCAGCCGTCTCCGTCACCCTGGAGGGACACACGCTGCTCCGCTGAAGGAGGGGTTGGACAGAAACAGGTGTCAAGTCGGACACGATAAGATCATGTTGTGGGACTGTCAGTTGTAACTTTCAAAATAAAAGCTTGCAAACAGCGTCTGAAAAAGGTCTATAAAAAATATATAGTTATTGGTTAGACGTGCATTTAATTTCGAGATTACTCTAGAATTTAAAATATATCATCAGCATGAAAACATTTTCTATAGGCCTAATATTATAGGCTTGAATTAGTGAGAAAGATTAGAATTAGAAAAAATGACAATTTTTAACCAATATTCAACCATAGGAATCTCACTAAAACTGAATCCCTCTTTTGTAACAATATTTGCACCCCACTGGAAAAAAAAACCTGAGCAGGAAATCAATTTGCTTATACCTAGTACATGCTTGAATGGAGTAGGAAGAAGTCAGACTTATCCAGTCCTACCCCATGACATCATCTTACCATCATTGGTTTGCAAGCAATAAATGATTCACTTCTACACACTCACCTATTATACTAAAAAGAATATAACAGTATTAACATTCTTACATCACACAAGTGATATACTAAAGAATGGTTACAAAATATACATCACACCCACAACAGTTAATCATTGAGCCTGTTCTTGCATATATCTTGATTGACACATACCTTTATATTTATGTTTAAACTTGTCAATTCTAGTACTGTTTTTTATGTCTACACTTAAGTTATTCCATAGTTTTACCCCACTTATGGAAATACAAAATCTTTTTTTGGTTGTACGTATAGCATGAATTTTTAAATTTAACTGACCCCTTAAATTGTATCCCCCTTCCCTTTCATTAAATAGTTTTTGAATTCCACCAGGTAATAAATTGTTCCTGGCTTTATACATAAACACAGCAGTCTCATATCCCACTAAATCAAAAAATTTTAACAATTTAGACTGTATGAAAGCTACATTGGTGTGATCCCTATGCCCCATCTTATGCACGATTCTTATTGCTCTTTTTTGTACTATATACAATGGTCGAAGTGAGCTTTTGTATGTATTTCCCCTGTTTTCAACGCCATACTCTAAGTATGGTAGAATCAATGAGGAATACAAAATGTGTAATGCTTTCCTGTCCAAAATATATCTAACCCTTGCCAATATCGATATATTTTTTGCTATTTTGTTCTGAACATATCTGATATGAGATTTCCAGGAATTTATCATCAACTATGACACCCAGAAATTTAATTTCATGTACTCATTCGATCATAGTTCCCCCAATTTGCAATTGAAGTTCATTGTCTCGTCTGCGATTCCCATATATAAACAAGACTATTTTTCATGTGTGGTTGTCATATGACCTATAGGCTAAATAGCCTAGTAAATGATTTGCCTTAAACCTAAAACTACCTTTCCATTTCACTCTTTTTCAGGTTTGTGCCATGTGCCATATTTAGGCCACCTGAAAGTTTGTCTCCATATTCCACTAAATACTGAATTCAATTAACATGTTCTGTGTCCTGGTTTTATTTTGAAAGTAAACCTGTCCAACCGGTAGTGTGAATCTAAATAAAGGGAGTTTGTACTGACAGTAGAGCTGAAAGGAACTGATTAACGAATGAACGATTGTTTTTTATATTGTGCAGTTGTGAGGAGTTAAATAAAGTTGAGTGGCTACATGTCATCTATACATAGAATATGATTTTTGTGTCAATGGCATCATGCACGGTACAACTTTGCTCAGTTGCAAGCATTAAAAAGTCGATTCATTTATCAAAATAAATGTAGATTATCTGTTCATTTCCTATTGGATATTTACACTCACTAACGTGTGAACAGAGATTTGTTTTAATCCTGTGTAAAACATCAGGCTGCAAACAACATTTTAATACTAAACATAATATATTAGCCTGCATGTTGTAATTAAATTTTTCATGTCTGTTTAAAATGAGTTGCACTAAATATGAATGTCGCCATGTTTCAGGCCTGTGTTTAGATGTTGGTATTGTTCGCCTTTAAATCCAGTGAAGCCACGATGAAGGACGACAGCGCCACCCAGTGATCTCAAATAAAACACACGGGTCCTCTCCACTGTCATATTCATGCATCCTTGCTTCCTTTGCCTTCCACCTCCTGCCCCTCACTCCTTATCTAACCACAGCTAAAAGAAGGCAGTTTGTGCTCTGAGTTGGTTCTTCTCATCTGGATTAAGACTGAACAACAAAGATACCGCCTTTAAATTCAACTGCGAAGTACTTGTATTTTATCAGAGTATTTCCATTTAATATTTCAAGGAGGAAACTATTGTACTTTTTAAAACATGACAGCTGCAAATTACACCTGCAGTTACTTGTTACTTTGCATATATATATAT